TGAATATCTTATTTTACAATGACCTGACAGGTTGGCCTAGCGGCAGCTCTAGTTATAACTCAATTGATTCAAATTGGAGAATCTCTAGTGTGATGTTCAACAATAAAGTTTTTGTTTCGCCAATTGGCGAAAATAACAACTGGCGACGGTATGCTACCCTCTTCTTCTATTGTTATTCATATTGGTTTTTTAAAGAAGCTGCATTTTTCGCGTGCTAATTTCTGTTACTCGAGCTGTATTGTGAGCGACCGTTGTTTCTATGCGAATGGGTCACAATATTAATTAAAGTATTCCTTGAAGAAAAACGCTACTAAATATCTATTATCATTGACGACTCAGAGATTTTCGATCACAATCGGAGATAACCACTGGACAGGATATCCTGTCGTCCTGGTGCTTTGTCCTGTCCTGCAGGGCAGGACGCAATTTTTATTTTGGTCCTGTACTGCCGCCCGCCAGGACAAGAAACTTACCAGGACAGGGCAGGGCAGGGCGAAAAATCTCGTCCTGTGCACGTCTCTGATATGAACCAATCAGAAGGAAGGCGAAGCGTCTTATTTTAGCGCACGAAACGTCCTGCATGTACACTACATACGTCTTGATTTTTTAGAGTGATATTTTGCTGAAAATATACTTTTCCCTTAATTTGTTTTTCTCTATTAAATGGTAGTTAGTATTTTTCTCTGATTACATACAGTCTTGTTATCAATCAACAAACAACAGTTTCAAGTTTGGGTACGGTAGGTAATTCGAACTCCCATGAATAATTCCTTTTGAATTTAAGAAAAAATTGAGTTATAATTTCACCTGTGATTGTATTACCAAGCTCAATTTCATAAAGACGTAACATTAAGATCAAATCTGGTGCACATATTCGGATAAAACATCTATTGCTTCATTGTCTTGCATATTATATAAACCATAAGCTTGAACGTGATGATCAAGAAAATATGCACTTTGTGATGGACCCGTATTTAATGATGCCTTAATTAAGTCATAAATTGATACAAGCAATAGAAACATTAGCCAAAACCGTAGTTATGAAAAAATGGTATTATTAATTATGTTAACAGGCAAAACACAATCACTCCATGTATTTTCAAATCCACCTAGAATAGTAAACAAAAAGACTGAAACATTTACATCAAAACATGAATCAAAAGATTAGTCAAGTCTCAATAGAATAAATATTTTTCCATATTTATTAGGAATACGAAGAGTACTAATATTAATCTTTTTTTTCGAATTTTCTTATTTATTGCATCTAAGAGCATGCTGATCAAACAAAATCTAAACCCATTTATGGATCGGTATTTATTTGCAGGTATAGTAATATCTGTCACTAGCAAATAAAATCTATATTTTTCTGTCTCAAAATTCGATTTAAACTCATCCACCGTAAATTGAGATTTCTTTTCGTTATTATGTATCTGAAGTCCTTAACTTTCTGTAGTAATCAAGTAACAAAAACAAGTTTAACTCAAATAAAAAATTAGAAGTAGATTTCGTATAAAGTCAATGTTAACATTAAGAAGAATAGAGTATTTTGATAGAGAATGAAATATATATTTTCGCTGAAGTTGTTGAAAAAACAAAATTCGAATTGCTTTACAAAAATTACTCAAACTACAAACATTTTTTATCTTATTTAAGGAGAAGAAAAATGTTTTTCAAAATATTGTTACCAATTTTGAGTCGATCAATTCGGCATCATGTGCGTTGAGGAAAAAATGTATCGTCCAAAACTGTAGCTGCCAAAAAGAACCTAAAATAAGTAAATCTTAAAGGAGTGGCTGTGTGGGCATCAGTATTTAAAAAAGACCCACACGCCCACACATTCACCCTTTTCGATATAGTAGGAAATTAGCGACTCATTTAGTTACATTTTCATTTGATGAAATACTGAAGAAAAATTCTAAATAGCAATTAAGTAAAAATATTTCAGTTATCAGGAAGGGAACAAAGAGCACTAAGATTTTATGAAAGCATTGTTTAGTTAAAAACATACATTAAAATATGTATTCTCGAGTGTCTACAAGACAAAGCGTTTTCTAGAAAAAAAAACTCACTGAGAAGCAGAGAACATTAAAGGATATAAATGCGTAGAAAATAAAATGCTTTACAACGATGTTTTCAAGTCGTATTTTAAGTTCAAAAAGCCCGTTGTAAATAAAAAAGAATGCATTTCAATGTGTTACATACACAAAATCATGCCTTTGAATGCGTTAGAGAGACAGAAAACGATGCGCTAAAACGATAAAACAGCGTTTTCTTCTAAAAGTTTGCGTTAAAACACTGTTTCATACGATTTATTTTTTCGTGGCATATATTGACTCTTTTAATATATTAGTAGAAGCACATTTAGGAGCAATTACTCTCTTAGGCTATTGATCGTAATATTCAGGAATGATTTCTTTCATTCTATTATATTATATCAGCTCTTTGGTGATGAGTATTTTTAAACGATAGCAGACGAAGAACTCGAGTTTATTTTTGAAATAAAAATAAAAGTGGACACAATGAGGTATTCGACACAACTGCGGACTCGAATCGTTAGCATATGACACAAATTCATATTGGTATCAGTGGGCATGAGTGTTGATTCAGGTCGTAAAAGCATTAATTCTTTTTAGTAGAGTGTAAAAGTAAGTTTGTGCCTAGGTCGTTTCAGTGTGTTAATTCTATCAGTTTTGATCTCTTCGATAAAACTTAATGTGTCAAAATAGTAAAGATAAAAAATAGCTGGCAGAAATTTGTGCATCTAGCTCGAAAACAATATTACTTTAACTAGGGTTTTTAGGAACGCTTGAGAAATTCTTTAGCTTGCGTTCTTAACGCACTATTGCCAATATTGATAAATTCGCTAGGATTATTTCTAATATATTTACTTTTCTCATTTTATCATTTCGAATTATTTAACACCAACAGGAACATATCGCGCTCTGAGTTGTTCTATTTCGAAAAACTTGAAGTTTTTATGTGAATCGATCTGCTTTAATATGGATCTTATGTTTTACCACAATATGCTAGAGACTAGGGGTGGGCCATTAACATTAATTTTATATTAATGTTAATGTTTCTCATTAACCATTAATATTAATGCTTAATGTTTTCTAAGAAAAACTTAATTCATTAATATTAATGATTAATGAAAAACATTAACATTAATTTTAAAATTAATGTTTTCATTAATCATTAATATTAATGTCAATGTTCTTAAATGATATTAACGGTTAACGGAAACATTCACCATTAGTATGAATAGCAATGTTTTCGTTAATACTATGGATTATACTTTCATTAATCATTAATATTAATGTTAATATTTTCATTAAAATCAATGACTTAATATTAATGGTTAATGTTTTCATGAAAGCATTATAACTTTCCATATTAAGTAATTAACACTTTCGGAGAAAACATTATCTATTAAGATCAGTTAATTGATTAATAATTGTAGATAATGTTTCCCTAGAAAAGCCTAATTCAGTAATATGGAAAAATTAATGTTTTCATGAAAACATTAACATTAATATTAATGATTAATGAAAATATAATCCCTAATATTAACGAAAACATTACTATTCATACTAATGGTGAATGTTTCCTTTAACCGTTAATATCATTCAAGAACATTGACATTAATATTAATGAAAACATTAATTTTAAAATTAATGTTAATGTTTTTCATTAATCATTAATATTAATGGCTAATGGAAGTCATTAATTAATGTCATTAATTAAGTTCCGTTAAAAAAAATGGCCCACCCTTACTAGATACTATAGAGTTCGTAAAACATCAACTACGATACAAACTTTCATAAGCTATAACAAAACTATTTTTCTGAACAAACTTTAGCATAAAAACATCAGATTTTGTAATATGGTTTCTTGTACTTCCTGCGAATCAAAAAACGTTCCTTTTTCAATTGGCTGGTTTCAGTCCTTTTTTACTATTATATTATTATTCAACTGCCGATATATTCATGTCTATGCCTGCTACTGAGCGTGCCTGTTGTCCCAGAAGCACTCAACATAGACAATAATATTACATATCTTATGATATTAAGTGATCATCAGAAATAAGTGCAAACATATAAAAATTGACAAGTAGGTGAACGCATGAACATTTTTTTCTACACAGCTGGTAGATAGGAAAACTAATGAAACTAGAGGCGCAGATGGGTGTGACAAGACAACCCATAGGTAACAGTCTATAATATCCTTTAAAAAATGTCCTTAGTGATATGGTCGTTCAAAAAAATGTCCTCCATTCAAAAAATTTCCTTTCAGCAAATCTTAAAGAACGATCTACAATAACTTTGATCAAGTAAGTTTATTTGTAATAACGAATTAACTTTAATTTTATTCGATTTCATTTTTCATTCGCAACAAGAAAGAAAGTCCGCGTCATAAATCTTGAGGTATGGGCGAAAGTGTGATGATGATGATGATGATGAAGATTGAGTTGATGTTGAGGCAGATGATGATTAGCTTTCATGAACGATCTTTAAATGGCGCGTCAGCATTTAAAAATATTAGTTGTGCTTATTTTTAATTTGTTATATGTATCACCAATCGTACTAGAACAATCCTTTTCATTCTTACTTGGTTCATTCCATTTTGAACTAAGCATTAATAGAAATAATCTAGCCGTCTACCAATATGTTTTTGAATTACAGTACCATCTACATATCGGCCTAATTTCATTTAAAATCTTCAATTCAGAGTGTAGGACATTTTCACACGAAGACCATTTTTAAAGGGCATTTACTCTGAGGGACATTTTTTCAAGGACAAAATCCAGAGCACTTTTTTTCCTGGGAACATTTTTTAAAGGACATACTAGCAACTACGAAAGCAAAGATGCACACTTCATCAACTAAATAAGAATTACGTTTCAGAAATGAATTGGACTGACGTTTACTGATCAATTTTAGATTGTCATAGACATTCATCTAGGGAAAATAATGATAGTTTTCATATTCGTTGTAATCGCAATGAGCTCACCAGCTCATGCTATATACTCATCCACACTTAGCTTAAGTCTACAAGGACATGAATTTCAACCTCAATATGGTGTTCAATTGATTTTTAATACAACAACTCAAAGTCTATTATTATGCGCCGCTACATGTAGTCAAAATCCATCATGTCGGATTTTTGATTACGATTCAAGTTCACACCGTTGTCGACTGTTCGAAGCTGATCTTACTAATGGAGCAATCATTGCGGTGGCTTCTCAAACGTCTATTGTTGGCAGTGTGATACTTTCAGCATCATTATATGCATCGATGTACAATCAATCTTGTTCAGCTTGTCAAGAAAATCGATATCAGACTTGTTCATCGACTACGAGCACGTGTCAATGTCCAGGGAATAGCTATTGGAATGGCAGCATGTGTCCATTACAATTATTTGAAAATGCAACTTGCAGTCAAATTGATGCTTGTCGAAGTGATCTTAATCTTAGTTGTATCATAAATTCTTATAATGAATTCACTCAATGTTTAATAGGTATTAATTTATTTACTGCTTTCCTTTACGAAAACTTAAACAGGGATAAAATATTTCACTTTTTCATAAAGTTGAAACGATGTTTTGATAGGCAAAGATCGTTCAGATAGAGAGAATGTCTGATTATGCATCGTTGAGATCCAATGATGGTGTTGTCAGCCCTAATTAGAGTTTTCTTTTCGATAAGAATATCCTAAAATAGTTTTTTAACATCGATGGCATGGTCTCAATAAAGAGAAATGATCTTTGTGAGTTCAATAAATATTTTAAAAATAGATCGACAACTAAAGATTCACAGTATTATTGTTATGCCTATATCTGAGTGCTCATCAATGATATAATATCCCTAATTTCTTCTTAATAAAAAATGCTACATTAGAATCTCTATCAATCTCTTTAAATAAGAATGTAAAATGCTATATTATTCACAAGTTAGACATTAAAACTAAAAATAGTAGGATGTTAAATATCCATCGAATTTAGTTTTAGTTTATAAGTAGTCTAAAAGTGAAGTCACATGTCTCTCGTTAAGGTGTAACCTCGATCTCGGTTCATCATTACGCATTCATTTGATCGTACTACACAAAATTCTTTTGCAATGCTCACGTGTATTTGATACATATCGATTAACTTGAACAGTAGTTTTCCGGTTAAAAGCCACCAAACGTTTTGAACTAGAGACTTTGATTTATTTTAAAGAAAAGACTAGGAAAATCCATGAAAGCAGAATTGCGTGTAAGCCTCAATTGAGCTTTAACAGATAATCTATGCGCCGGCTTAGGCACCAGTCAATATTTACTTTTTTTATTTGGCATGTGCATCTGGGGGTTGGTGGAAAATGTCGAAAAGGAAAATATCGAAGAGGAAAACATCGAAAAAAAAATAGAAAAGGAAAACATCGAAAAGGAAAATATCGAAGAGGAAAACGTCGAAACACAGAAATAAAAATATCCAGTAGATTGTGAAAGAAGAATGTCGAATATATTGAAAGAGGTCAGTTGTAAAATTGATTTTTGTTTGTTTTCATTGGTCTCTCTTTATCCGGCATATTGTATTTTACATTGAATAAAGAAAATTTCGTGGGAAGAAATACATATATTTAAAATGATCTCGAACTCGACACCTGAAAAATGCTCACTTAACAATCTACAATGTCAAATAAAGTTTTCGATATCAAACAAAGGCAAACGATTACTAATATTTAAAAACTACGTTCTCAGATGCAATAAAACGACAAAATCAAAAATATACTGGATGTGTAGTGAATCAGACTGTGGTGTTTATATTCATACAAACACTACTGACGAACATATATGTATCAATGGTATGGTATTCATAATCATTCTGCAAATCCTGATCAATTAGAAGCAAAACTATTACGATCAGGTTTATCATTATTAATTGGAGAGAGAAAAAATAACATTTATTATATTTTCTATATTCTCTCTCTTCTTTTTTATTATTTTTAAAACAGTATTCATTATGGATCAAGGCTATGAATTCGTCGTGCCGATATTTTTCTTTCAAATTTTCATCTACATCTCTTTCTCATAAATTACTTACACTTTCGACATTTTCCTTTTCGGCATTTTCCTCTTCGACGTTTTCCTTTTTCTATTTTCTTTCGCCATTTTTCTCTTTCGACATTTTCCTTTTCGACGTTTTCCACCAAGATCTGCATCTGAATGGGCAATGTCTAAAGCCTATAAATCTCAATTTTTAGCGTATTTGGTTGAAAAATTAGCCGGACCTGACTTTTGACAGCTCACCGATTCTTATAAAATTCATCAAAAACAGCTTCCGAAAAGTCGGATCTCCTAGTCCTTTAACAGATCAATCCCAGTTTTCGCACGATATACCACAACATAAGAGTACCGGTAACTGAACAAAATAAGCTATTTAGATATCACAATTAGTGAAACTGTTACTAAACATTTGCATTGCCTGGTAACAATAACTGATTCCCGTTACGAGTTACTTGGTAAAGTAACGGAACCCCCCACCGCCACCCTCGAGCTTATACCAGATTCATAATAGCGTAGAAAACAATTTTGACGAGTACATCTGTTCTGCATCGACGCTATACGAGAAAAGCTGTTACCAAACATTTACACTACAGATGACGGTACCACGTACCATGTTAAAGTAAAAATCCACCAAACAGCAAATTTTGCATGCGTGGATCTCAACAAAAATAGAACATTTTTGCGCGAACTTTTACAAACTCTTCTTACGATCAGCTCTAGTCACGAATTCTCTTTGGGTTATAGGTATGCCAAAGTCGACGACAGCAGCAACAGTGACGGCAGCAACAGCGACAGCAAAAACGGTGACAACAGCAACGGTGATAGCAGCAACAGTGACAGCAGCAGCGGTGACAACAGCAACAGTGACAGCAACAACGGTGACAGCGTCCATCAGTAAGTGTTAGATTGAATGATTAGCACTTCATGTAGCTATTCAAGAAAGGATTGACCTCACGAGATTTGAAACATTTGGTGTTGAAACTCCGAACTATCTCAAATCTAGACGAATAAGGCGGATTCTAGCTCAGAAAAGACTTTTCCCAATGAAAAATGACTTTTCTACAGAGTCAAACTATATTAATTTCATTTCTCAAAGCTCAGGGAAAATGGATTGATTGCCGTTAAGGATGTGCAGTGTCAGTGTACTGACCACCGATATCTTTCTTATTGACTAAAGACTTCAGTCAATCAAAAATTGTCGGTGTGTCAGTGTTTCACTGATCATCAGTGTATGAGTGATCATCAGTGCTGCAGTGAAGCCGGTGTCAATGACACTGCTTACAGTGTGATCGGTGTTCCACTGGGCACGCTGTCAGTGTAATCGGTGCACTATTGAGCACACTGTCGGTGTAGTCAGTGAACAGTTTTGTAGTATTTACACCGACACTGCACATCCCTAGTTGCTGTTTGATTGATTATTTTCTCTGATTCTGACAGTTGAATACGACGACGGGGATACTTTTTCACATAAGAGTGTTTTGCTCAGTGTAACGAACTTGATTAATATTCGTGGTTGGGATATCCGGATATATAGAATTGCGTATATACCAAGATAAGATAGTGGATAATAAATTGTGGAGGGCTACAGGTATTATAACTAACAATGTCTGGGTAATACCCAATTGTAATGATTTATTTTATAAATAGTTTATAATGAACAGAGCAAATAAGACAACAATACCACTAATCATAACATATGTATGTGTTATACACAGCAATTACACACAATAAGATTCTTTGTACACACACTAATTCTATGGGTATGTTTCTTAATTCAAGTCACGTCTCACTATTTTCCGACTACGTTCTACTACTAACTATTTCTAGCGAACTCCATACTAAGTTTAAATGTGTCGCATGTGTCGTGATTTGCGACACATTCAAGTGCGATACGAGGTGCTCTTTGCAACATATTATCTCCAGCGATGGCACAACACATTTTGTACGACACACTCTGAGAACTCAAGCAGGTCAGATGTTAAGATCTGTTCGATCTTGAGTTGATCCGGTTTTCTACCAGACCATTTCAGGGTAGTCCTACCTCGATCAATGATCAAGATAGGCATGCTCTCGATTAATTAATAATTGAGAAGTAATCTAAAAGTATTTGAATGAAAAAACATCATCTTCGTATGTTCAATTCGGTTCTCTATATAGAGCCTTGTACGCAGAAGAAAAGGGTGAATCGATAGTCGTCACACAGAACGAGACAAATCTATTAGTGATACATTCTGTCGCGACATACTTCCGACACTGAACCTGCGCCGCCATAACTCGCAACACATATGCGACACATTTAAATTTAGAGTGTCTTTCCACGAACAACTTAGAACTAATAAATGCTCTCTTATTTCATATATAGCGCGAGCTTATATATCAGAGAGAGAATAATGAAAATATCAATAGAAGAGAGGGAAACAGAAAGAAAAAGATACAGAGAAGGATAACATACTGTTCAGTGCGAGATTATGTGTTATCATATACAAGGATGCCCAGTAGCGATGTAAATTGAATTGCATCACGACCATATGTTCGTTAGCTCTATGACTTATAAGTGGACGTCCAGCGGTTGCTGTAACCCCGTATTTATTTTAGTCCTAAACGAGGGACGTACTTCTTGGAGCATCGATGACTTGTACATGAATGTCCGTCACCTGTTACGACCCTCTATTTGTCTCACCCTATAGGAGTCACGTGTTTCTTGGCACACTCAGTCTGTGGAGTGTGTTTTGATATTGATTTGTATTGTATCTATAATAGATAGATCAGATGTACTAACAGGCTACTTTTTGCGTCTGACTGGATCGCCTGGACTGGGTTAGCTTGTCCTTCACCAGAGCCGACCAAAACTAAAACGCCGGCCTACTGGCCCACTGAAGCCTGTCAAATTACAGGAGGCAGGCTGACATTTGCGCTGGTGATAGGCGTCCACTTATCGCCGCCGAAAAAATCAAGGGAAACAAATGTATGGAAGTGCCGAGTGCTGTAAATGATCTGATTATATGATTTTTTGTCCACTATGGAAGCAGTTCCATCGTGTTTCACATTTAAATCGCGCAGAGATCGTGCTGAAAGCTTCATTATTTGTCCCATAATTTTACTAAAACCTAACTGACTTCACAATTATTATACATAACTCGATTGATTAAAATCAGTTCTGGAAAGCTCTATATGGTACATCTCTTTAAGATCCTCCCCACCACAGTAATTGATATTGGGTCTCTGCCAGTCAATCATTTTGAACATTTTTTGTATGTCAGTCATCAGTGTAACCGTTCATGAAAAACGTTTCAACCAATCGAAGCTTTGCGTCCAAGAGAAAAATCGAAACTAGTCAAAAGTAGGTGATAGCAAGAAACATTTTTCTCCTGTCTTAGACAGTTTGAAGCTATTTCGCCTGGATTTTTCAAATTCTGCTTCGTTTAACAGTCATCCTAACAAGACGACATCTGGAAAACGCTAAATTGAATTTTAGGGAAAAATCTCCATGTAGAAGCAAAATATCGAAGAAAGCCAACACCAATTGCTTCATTTTCCAGTGACTACCAAACAAAAAGGAATTTATTGATCCACTATTCGAATTCAAACATTAAGAAAGATCTTCCTTAGTAAGCGTGGTTGTTGCAGTTAAGTTAGTCTAACTGCAATTAGTACACCTAACTAAATCTTTTATAGTCGGTAGTTAAACTAACTACTTGCGTTATAGAATTATTCAAGGGACACTGACCATCAACTGTATTTTGACATCGATAGTACTAACTATCACAAAAGTTCTTTCTAATTCTGCTGCCCTGTCCTCCCCTCTATCTTGTGTATCTTCTTTCTTTCATCTTGAGGGTGGTTCTTCTACGGAGGAAATGAGCTTCCTTTTAGTAGATTCAAGCCTATTTTTTGAAAAAAGTTATAAGACGCTTGTTGAATTGACCAATGACTTGTCCAATTGAATCGAGCTATTTTCTCATCCCTTTCAATTGGAGACATGTTGTCATCTATTCAACTACCTGTAGCTAAGGAAAAATCTGGTGAATTCGGTTGAGGAGGAGCTCACATCGTTTGCTGTCTCGATCGAGTCCAAGATCGATTCAGTTGAGTTTCAGTAGAAAAACATTTGAGGCTGCATCACCACACCAAATAAAGAATGAATTAACAGAGAACCGCTACAGGAAGCGGTGAGGACTGAGGGTGGCTTTCATCGATTTTTGACGTGATGGAGTTGCCATGGAAACTGTAAAAAATGTGAGAAAGTATTGAACTCGGCCAGGAAACGCAAAAATTTCCAAGACTGAGGAATATCATTCAGTCCCGGTCCCAGTCTTGTCGACCCTGATCGGGGTGCAGCCATTCGTTAGTAAAATCGCAGTGATGAGACAGTACTTCTGCATAATTATACAGGTGTTAAAAACATTATTTTTGTTTCGGAATAGCTCAATGTCGTACTATATTTACTGGTCAAAAAACCTATTCAACTGGCTCTGGACCTAGGTCTCTAAGCGCAGTCGACGTCAATGGCGACGGCAAACTCGACATTATTGTCGCAAACTACGTTTCGAAGAATGTCAGTGTTCTCCTCAACACAGGCGACGGCACGTTTGCTGCTCAAACGACGTATTTAGCTGGGACTGGCCCGGCCTTTGTGCCAGTAGCCGATGTCAATGGCGACGGCAAACCCGATATTATTGTCACAAACTACGGTTCGAAGAATCTCAGTGTTCTCCTTAACACAGGCAACGGCACGTTTGCTGCTCAAACGACCTACTCAACTGGCACTATGCCAAACGTTGTGGTAGCAGCCGATGTCAATGGCGACGGCAAACCCGACATAATTGTCGCAAACTACGGCTCGAACAATGTGGGTGTTCTAATCAATTAATGCTGATGCACA